CCTTGTCCTTGGAGTTAGCATTACTTGACCTCCATTTTCCGAACACATGATTTTACTTTTCTCATTTTATGTTAGATATTATGCTGAACACGCTCTTCTGGAAGAAGTGAAATTTTTTTTTCAGATTACGTTATTATTACACGAGTTTAACTAGTCAAATAATGTGATCATTTGGTTTAAATGTACAAAGATGAAAGTATTCTGTTCTTCCTAAGATACTGCTTTTAAAGACCGGATACGCATAAGGATGAATAGGTAAGAAAATACATATTTATTTATTCTGATTTTAATTTTTTTAATATTTTTTTGCTCAATTTTCTTTTACAGGAATATTTATGCATTTCTTTTACAAGAGCTTTTATTGTATTTTTAAAGATTGCTCCAGTATCATTAAAAGTCCTGATGATCATTTATCATATTGGGCTTTTAAAATTTAAAAGTATGAAACTATATATATATAATACACGCGTTGTTTAATTTAATATATAAAAATATATGTGTCGGCAAACATATAAGATAAAATCTGAACACAGAAAAGAAAACGGATTGCTTAAAAGAAAAATTAGTAATATATTAAAGCGGTAACATTGAGAGAGGAAACTTAATAATGGTTCTCACACTTTTATTTGATAAGTTGAGCTTGGATATTGTTATTTACCTTTAGAAGAAGATATTTTTAAAACAAAATAATAATTTTTTTTTTTGCACATTTAATTTGTTTTCATTCGTGTACAAAATCAAAAATTAAAAAAAGAATGAAGTAAGAATTTGGTTTTTATTTTGGTTTTCTAACACACTGCTGACAACACACATTTATACAACTATAAGTGAATGTTGTTGAAAGGTATATTATAGACTTTTTTAGTAAATTTTTATACAGTTACTTTGGCTAAATTTAGATATTTTTCATGAAACAAGATAAATTAGTTTATATGTTATGTGATTTTATCCCGTTTTTTAGATTCAACTTTTCCAAATAGCCTGTATTTTTCGAAATAGTTTATACAAATACGTTAAGCAAGCAACTGAACTGTTTTTCTTATATAAAAATATAAGAAATAATATATAGTGACATTCCTAGACGTACATACAAGATTAATTTTGTGTCAAGTTAAGCATTTGTCTTTAGCGGTAATATCAACACCACCAGTTGTGTTATTAGACTTTCCACTCCATTGGTTGTGATATAAGAATACAACTAATTCAGACTTTAAAAATTTTCAAACCTCGTTTGGTTTTTAGTTTTTTGCTCCTTGTGTTTAATCCATATATTTGCTTATTTTTTTATTAATATTCTATTTGCTGCAGATTTATGGGCTTAACTTTGTCATACTTTTCAATCTTAGAGAGTTTTCAAGTGTAAGGTTATCCTGTACCCTTTTCAAGAAAACTTTTTGGAGACAGTAATAGTAAAAATAGTTTATGTTTCACTTTCAGATTATAATATAAAGTTGATTCTCTGAAATTAAAAAGTCAGTCCGATCAGCCATTATTTTACAAATTTAATAAATTCAAAATGTTTGAAATTGTTTTAAAATTTTTATAAAATGCTCAATTTTTAAATTGTTTTAGTCATTTCAAAGGATTTATGTTTCTTAGGTTATTGGGAACAAAAGTTAGAATGGATTTAAAAATTTGTTGCCTTGCTGATTTTTAATAGTTATTTTTATAGATAAACTTGGGAAAAAAAACGCAAATTCTTAAAATATTAACTTTAGCATTTTTTAAAAAATATCTAGAAATCTCAGACCTAAATCCATATTAACCTTTATAGAATATATATTTGGGAGTATATGCAAAAAATTTCAAGGCTGTATCTTGAACAGAAAAGAAGCCTTAGGGATTAGAACACGCTTACATTTTCAAAATTAAAAGTTTGAGGAAAACGCATTTAAAATTTGTCAAAGCATAAAACAAAAACTTATAATGCTAATTTGTCACTTTTCAACTTAAAAAACTACATCAAGACACTACTTTAATTAATTATGACTAGAAATATTATTTTTAAATTCAAAATATGCTTTTGCTTAATATTGACAGCATTTGTTACGAAGACAGTTTATTCAGCTTTATCTTAACCTAATATTTTCACAAAAGGTTTCAGCGCAAAATATTTATAAGAAAAATAATAATGATAAAAACTTAAGCTAGAAATCACCAAGTTAGTCAATAACATCTAATTTTTTCTTAGTTTTATATCGGGGTGCTTTAGCAAGCTTAAGTTTTTGTTGCGTGACTTTAAAATACTGAATGTAGTATTATAATATAATTACTATAGTGTAATGTAGTACATCATGGGAAAATATTCACTTCTTTTTTTAATATTTGTATTCAGAGCATTTGTATCCTGAAGTCTCATTATAGTACCAGCTGAAGGCTAGATTTTTAGATTTATCATTTTCAGTCGAATTTCATCTCTTCCAAATAGTGTTTCTCATAGCAACCTGAGCACGTTTAGGCCGTGAAATTTTCTCAACAGGAAAAATTAATGAAAACAAAGTAAAAAGCTTCTACGTTATATCGACTAAGGGGGGGGGATAAATATATTGGTCTTGAAATCAGTCTTAATTAAGTAATTATGACAGAACTTATAAAATACTCGAAACATAAGCAAACAGAAATGATTTTAGTAATTGCAGCTAATAGCCATTTCACACTGAAAAACTGAGTTGTGCTCAAAAATATTTTTAATCAATTCAATTTAGAAATAAAGAAATGCTTTAAAATAAAACCAAAATTAAAATCAAGACTCAGAAAAATTCAAATATCTTAAAAACTAATTGGTTTTCAGATCTGAAATTTTGGAGCAAGCTTTCCAAATATATAAATCATAGGAAAATGCAAAAAAGAGTTATTTTAAGGTACTATTTATATCTTAATAACTAAAATAAAAAAATATCGTCAAAACTCTTAGAAAAATTCAAAGTTTCAATTGCGTGTGAAAATGTAACTTTTTAGAATATTAATATAACTAAAATTTTGATTCATTGCAAACTTAAAAAGCTTATTATAAAGTGAAAAAAATGGTGAAAATATTTTGTGAGAATTTAGTAAAACAATGATAATGTGATTGAGAGAAACTATCAAACATCGAAATAGCTTACTATATATTAATATCACAAGCTAATATGTTATATAAATGGAATTCAAAAGGGTGGTGACTATGTTCAGTACTCGAACAGATGAGACTACGTTCAGAACCGTAATTTTGAAAAGCATATAAATGGATAATTTTTTGATATTTAGAGTCAGTTGAATTAGAATACACATATATAAAAGTAGCTTAAGAATATTATTGTTCTTGTTGACGTGTGTTTGTTATCCTCGGAACATATGAAATACAAGTGAAGAAGAACAGAAATCATACAATACAACAGAAGAATATACACATTTATTAAAGATGATCCCAGCATATAACAAGAAGGGGTGCGCTGCTTTTCCCTTTCGAGAAGGGAATCCATTACAGGCGAAAGATCGACTTCTTTCCCGAAGAAGATACAACCATGTCTTACTCGGGATTTGAACCCGAACCCACTCGGATACAAGCCGAGAGTTATAATCACCATACTGGCATGGCGACAAAAATATTATTACAATACAAAATTATTTTCTTTCGATTTTTTAGCAAAAAAGAAGAATAACATATTTTCAAAACATTCTTCTTTTTATAAAAACTGTTTCTTAATAATAATACTTTGTCTCTACATAAATAGGACTCCTATACTGGGTTTGAACTAAGATATTTGAAATGTATAATTTAGCCGAGGATTTATTCATATTTTTTTTATATCGGAGGAAAAATTTTAACAAAATACACCTGTTATTATTTCAATTGATTGTAACTCGGTGCTTCTCAAACTTTCAATATACCATAATACAATAACCACACCATTTTTTCACCCCATTACAATAACTATGTATTGAATGCAATGAAAAGTGAGCTTTGACGCTAAAGCTAAAATACGACTTTAATTATAAATCATAAAAATTATCAATATAAGTATTAAATTTTTCATATAATTTTGTATGTGACAAACCAGTGGGAGACATTAGTAATTATTAAGCTTGTTTTTAATTTAGTATTGGTAAGTTAATTATCAAAAACATTGTGCAGCACTGGTACATTTATAAGTATATTATATTAGTGTAAATATGTATTTAATTTTTATTATATCAGAATGTGTTTTGTTTTGGTTCCTTTCAGTAAATTGATACTTTTTTTTTAGCTTAAATCTTCACTTTTCAATACTCTCGCTTCCCCCACATAAGGATAATATGCTCCTCCAGGGGGGTGCGTCCCACAGTTGTAACTCTAAGAATAAAGTGAATTTTTCAAAATCCTAGTTCAACACCGGTGTAGAAGTCCTAGCTATATAGAGATAGATTATTATTATTATAAGAGATTTTTTTCATAAAAGAAGATTGTTTATTTTTAAAACTGGTAGATTTCCTTAAAACCAAAAGTAACTTCGTACAAAAAAATAGTGTATTTCCAAGGCTTGCATGTAGTTTTATAGAAAGCTTAATTTTTAAAAAAAATTTAATCTATTGTTTTGATTGATCTCAAGTCTGCATAGTATGATTTTTTTAAAAAAAAGTCTTAATTTTAAAAATAGTATTTCTTTATGCTTTTGTTATTTAAAGGGTTTTTTTTGTAAAATTGAACTATTTTCAGATTATGAAAACTGCATGTTCAACAATGTTCGTAAATGCAGGACCTATAAAATATTTTCTTCTAAGAAAAGGTAAGTGTTTTTTATGCAGTACTTAAAAGTACATGTATACATTACTAGAATGATATGGGAAATAATTATTTTTCAATTTTTTTCTGTGGTGTTAAAACTATGAATAATGAAATGACTTTTTAAAGTTTAATTAACTAAATATAATATTTCACAAAATTTGAAAACAAAATTATTTTTATCAGTTTCTAAATTGCTTCTAATTTAATATTTTCAAATGCAATTTTTATTATTATTATTATTTTTTTATGAAACTATGGAAGTATTTTTTAAAAAATAAATCTAGTGCATGCTTTGTTCATATTCGTCTATTTCTGTGTTTGTAGAACAGAATTGAATATTAGTTTGATTTAGTTTTGAGTTAAAAATAATTACGATATGAGTTGTTGGTAGTGTATTTGTAATTCTAAAATTAAACCATGATGAAAACCAGATGAAATAATTTACGTCTTAAAATATTAAATACTTAGACGAATTCCCGAAATTCCATTATTATACCTCTTATTTTAAAATTATGGTGAATTGTTTAAATATAAAAGATAAACGTTCAATAAAGATTCCAAGTAAACTTATTTTCGTTAATTTAATTTTTGTTAATTTTGTTTATTAAATTTAATTGTCATTTTGGAAAAATCAAATTCCTTGTAACGAGTTGCGTTTATGTTCTCGAAAAGAAAGTACAGTTAGGATTGGAGGATTTTCAGAAAAATAAAAGGTTGACTTTTAGAATACACAAACTTCATTTATTAGAACAGTATCGCTGCGACATTGGTAAGTTAAAAAATTATAAAATAATGACAAAATGTAGCAAAATTTCGCAAAAGTTGAAAAATTGAGCAAGTAGATGTCTGTTGTTGTTGTGTTGTTGTTGCTCATGCCACCTGCCTGACATAGTCAGATCGAGGCCCACGAAATTCATCGTGGCAATGGGCTAGATGTACACCTGTCGTTGGCTTTTAGCCTTGAGTACCATACAGGTAGCTCGGAGAAATTCCTGAAGGAACGATAGATGGCGACACCACCTATCTCCACCTCCACAATTTAGGCATGGAACTGAATTGGAGGGAAATAGTAGATGTCTTTTTGATTAAACATGTGTGTTTTTTCTTCTTTTTCTGCCTTTTTACTTATTTTAGAGTAAAACAACTTTTATAGAATGTAGTAATCAAAAAGGGAAAGTAAATTCCATTTTTTTTTTTAAAATACGAGTTTGAATAAAATTATGAAGTCCTTGCATTGTTTAAAATCTACAGATACAATGTGTGCAATTATTTAACTCAATCTCTCCTATCGCATAACTCTTTGTTTTCCTAATTGATAACCAAACTTAATCTGAAAACCATTCACCCTACATTAATATTAAATAAGATTGATATCGAAAATGAAATAAATCAGATTTTTTTTCTTTGTTTTTATGTTAAAGTTTTTATCTATTTCGCTTTTGTCTTCTTCACGGTAGCATGAAACCGACATTATCAATTTCACTCCCATTGTTAAAAAAAAAAATTTTTTTTTTTCCCAAAAAAGATTTATTTTTTTTTTTTTTTTATGAAAAATAGTTTAGAGTTGTAAAAAAGGAAATAAAAGTTACATAAATTATCTTCCCAACGGAGGGCTCGTGATAAAATGTGGATGGATAATTCTATATTTACATTCGCGTGACGATGTGTTTTATTGCATCATTTCCATGTAGTGACATCGGCAAGATTCAACAAAAGAGATTGTGAAGAGTCGAGCATAGTCAGTGGAGAGAGCATCAAATATTTTGGATCAATGGAGTCTGTCGGTGGCACCGTTTCTTCTGAGGTAAAATGATTTCCTATACATAAGATATTTGTATTGTGTGACATTTGAATCTCTTTGTGTTATGCAAAAACTGATTTTGCATTGAACGAATGTGATTAAAATATCTTGAGATAAAATTAACAAGTAATATAAAAAAAATTAAGTCAGATTCTACTTAGATCACCAAAGAAAATTTTTATTTTAGTTATTTTTTATTAAATAATTAAATATAAATATGTATATATACATATGACAGAATCACAACATTAAGTGGCAAAATAGAAAGCGTGATTTCCCTTTCTGTACATGGTGTTGGACTATTATTTTTGTTTGTTACTATTTATTCATTCATTAATCATATTCTCAGAAATTTGACCATCCCAGGAATGATTCGAGCCCAAGACCTTTGAATTGGAAGTCCAGCGCGCTATCCATTGCGTTACAGGGACAATACGAACGAGTTTTCTTTTTATATATGGTGTTAGACTATTATTTTTGTTTGTTACTATTTATTCATTTTTTAATTTAATTAATGAATTAATATTTGAAAAAACTATATTAACATCAAGTGTCACCCCCTACAAGTTTAAAAAATGTGTTTGAATTTGAATGGATGAATGAAAAGTATTTTATAAACGATTGAAAATTTGAACAAGATATATACATATATATATAGAGAGAGAGGGTGTCACCTAATAGTAGGAATTGAAAATAGAAATTTTGATTATATGTATTACTGCTTAGTTAAATACTTTTTGTTTGATGTTTTGCAGTTTATTTTAAAATGAATCCAGGATTAAGAGATGAATATAATAGAGTTTATTTATAAAATAAAGTTCCTTTTCATTGGTGAAATTTTCTTACTGCATAATCTTATTTTTGTATTGCTTATGATATAAGTTTTTGTATGGAATTAATAATGTTTTCAAGCTGCGCACGATCATACGGGTCATTGCTTGAAGTTGAGTCGCTATTGGAACCTTAGCTCAAAAAATATTTTTTAATTAAAAAAAAATTAATGTTAATATTATATTTTGACTTCCCTGGTTGCATGAAGGACATGGGTTTATTCAGGGATTCGAAACGGAACTGAGCCAAAAACCGAAAAACTTAAAAAATCGTTATTTTGATCTGAACGAAAACCGAAACTGAATAGAAAAAATATTATCGGTTTATTTCGGTTCAACAAAATCTTCAGTCATTTTATTATTGTAACCCAGTGCTTCTCAAACTTTCTAAACTTGCGCCCCAATTTTCAATCATATTTTTCATCTCGCCCCTCCTCCATGCAATATCTTTATATTGAATTCAATAATAATGTGCTTTGACGTAAAGGTACAATACGATTTTAATTATAAGCCGTACAAATTATCAAAATAAGTACTACATTCTGTACATAATTTTATGAAATGCGTATAGGGTCATTTGCAATTATTAAGCTTGTTCTTAGCTTAGTACCGTTAAATTAATTATGAAACACACCGTGCAGTATTGATACATTTATAAGTGTATTATATCAGTGTAAATGTGTATTATATTTTTTATTATGTCTAATTGTATTTTGTTTTGTTTCCGTTTAGCAAATTAAATTTTTTTAACTGTTATCTTTTGTTTTAGACTTTTTGATATACTCGCCCCTCTAGGGAGGTGTGCCTCACAGTTTGAGAAACACTGCTGTAACCTACTTTAATCGATATTTTCTAATTTAAAGTCAACCATATAATTATTAGCATTACATGTACCAGGGCCGGCTCAAGCAGTTTTGCCGCCCCGGACAAAAATAGAAAATGTCGCCCCTTTCTTCAAAACAAAGAATTATAATTAAAAAAGAAAAATTGTTTGCATGGACACACACCTATAAAACTAACTTGAATAATTCTTGCGGAAAAAAAGGCAGTATAACAATATATATATATATTATTTTGAGTCAAATATATACAAAATAATTCGAAATTAAGGACATAATTACCTGCTATTATTTCAAACGAGTAAAGTGTAAAGGTAATCGTTCATTTCAACATGTCAATTTCTTCTTGAAAGAGTCTACTGA